TTTTTTTCCCCACAAAAAAAAAAAAAAAAAAAAAAGTCATGTCTGAATCAGGAGAGAAACAGTAAACCGTACTAAACAAATATGTTGGTGGATTTTGATGTGAGAGGACATGTTTATAACGGATTTATTGCAAACACACAGCTTTTCACTTCACAAGACATTGACTGGTGGACTGGAGTCATGTGAATTACTTGTGGATTATTATGATGTTTTTATCAGCTGTTTGGAGTCTCATTCCGACGGCACCCATTCACTGCAGAGGATCCACTGGTGAGAAAGTGATGTAATGCTACATTTCTCCAAACCATCTACATCTTGGATGGGTGAGTACATTTTTAGCAAATTTTCAATTTTGGATGAAATATTGCTTTAAGTTTATATTTTGCATTAGTTAACATTTTATTTCAAGTAACATCTATTTTATGGTTTTAGTTCGAGTTAACTATAATAACCCTGGTATGATAAGTGCACATGACGTACCGCAGTGGTACAGCTTCCTGATCCTTTGCACATCCAGATCAGACAAGTGAGTCCTCTGGCCAATAATTACACCGCTGTCTTTGGGCTGAATTGTGGGTTTTCCATTGCGAGAGAAATAATTGCTGCAAAACAGAACAAAAACATGACTAATGAAGAGTTCAGCCAGCCAAACGCACATCATAAATATGACTTCATGCACTCAGACAGTCATGCACACTACAGAATACGGTTCGACTGGAACACCTACTTTCCATAATGCAAAATTGATTCCAGGTCATACTCCAGACCAAAGGTGTTCCCATTTCTCTTCAAAAAATTGTCCTCTTTCCCTGTAAAATAAAAAGTGGGCAGTACAACCAGTAACTGATGCATTAATACTCCACAACCCTTACTGGCTGCCTACTGCATCATATTTGATACTCAAATTTCTAAGGCCCCTAAATTATCAACATGATCAAAACTTTGCTGGAAAACCTGTCGTACTCAATCTACTGCATGCCTTATGTCGTCTGATTGATGGTTCATACTTTAGCAAGTTAAAGGCCTTTTAGTATCATAGTGACCCGTTCAGGTCATGGTACACATACTTTTGCAGTAAAATCTTTACAGATTTTCATAAAGTAAACAAGAAAATTTTATTTAGTTATCAATATTTTAAGATGAACATTTACTGGACTGAAGTGACATAGCTGACTTGATCATCCATTATTTTTTTTACATTTTTATTTTTTTATAAATCATGTTAAATGCAAGTATCAAATATGATCAATCAAGCTTTTGAGGATGGTTTATTTGTTAATTTCTCACTCACTGTACTGCATCGTTTTCTCCGCCACAATAATAATAATAATAATAATAATAATAATAATAATAATAATAAACTACAGAGATCATAAAACAAAGCATTTAAATATCTTTCTAAGCCTATATTGAGAGACAATACTTTGATTTTTCTGACTACTTCATATGTGAAATCTTTTTTTTTTTTTTATGGTGAAATACGTTGCAAAAGTTCAATATTACAATCACAGACTAAATTAGCTTTAAAGTTAAGTACACGATAAGTGCGAAGTGGACTACACAGGATATTCTGCCATGATTCCAGCTCGAAGGGAGCTTGTGTGTTCCATTCAAAGGGCATTAAAGTGTGCCAGATGTCAATTTAAAAAAGAGAGCAAAACAAAACACCAGTCATGAATCAGAAGTACAAAACAAGGATTTGTAAAGAAAAATATCAGAGGACTTCGATATAAGCCAAGAGGAGACTGGTTTTCCTTTGCAGTAAACAAAACTTGGTTCTCGCGAGACTAGCATATTCTTACTTTTAAGAATATGCTTATACTAAAAAGGAGTACTTTTTTATGATGGATGGATGGATGCACTTTATTTTGCTTGAAAATCTCAACCCCTATTCACTGCCATTATAAAGCTGGGACATTTTTAAAATACGACTCTGATAGTATTTGTCTGAAAGAAGAAAGTCATATACACCTATAGGATGGTGTGAGGGTGAGTAAATCATAGGTTAATCTTAATTTTTGGGTGAACTATCCCTTTAACGCTAACGTAATAAAAGTATAATTAGGAACCAACCCCAATGGGATCAAAAAAGTATCTTCGAATCAAATAAAATGCTACTGGAAATCTGAAGTTCCCATTTGAATTTCAGTGCATCTATAGAACCTGATTTTAGAGGACTCCACTTTGAGCCCTTTAGTTTTACAAATGATGACAGGAATTCCATTAGCAATTAAACTGAGCTGAAATGCTGAATTAATGTAATAGTATGCATACTGTACCAGAGGCAATGTTTCCTTTAAGTATAGTGATATGATCACCACGGTCATAGCGAGAATGCTCGTGGTGAAAGCCGAGGGCATGAAGGATCTCGTGGCAGATGTTCCCAACTTTACATTTTGGCCCAATCAGAAGAGGCTGCTCACCCCCCCTACATCCGACGTAAGATGCACACCTTTAGGAAACAGCAAACTAGATTAGACGGCAATAGATGGAACATTTTTCAGACTTCTTCCAAGATGGAAATATACTGTGAAAGTGTCCTGACAAAGACACTGAATTAAACTCCCTATACATTTTTTTTTTTCTAGTCAAACTAAAATCTGTGACTCACCCATTTCCCAATTCAAAGTGCAAATAGTCAGTTTCATTAGTATGTGGACGGAATCTGACGCAGGTCTTCTTGGAGATCATATTAAAGGCATTAAGAATGTCTTTAGTCCTGCCCTCTGAAGACCATTTACAGAAACAAACAAATCCTCTGAATATCAATGCATCGTCGCCTGTTATTACTTAAACACATCATACAGATCCAACCATTGAAATTGTGACTATACTGCTAGAGCACACTATAGGGTAATATCTGCAAAAAACATACCACCAAACATGCAGAAACTCACCAATAACGGAATCAATTTCATAAGGCACTGACAAACTTCCATCCAACTCGGCCCATAGCTCACTCACTGAGTTCCTGTCAGTCTTAAAAAAACAAACAAAAAAAACCCCAGAGGCAACTGTTTTTGTATTACAAGTGTTCTGAAATGTTGTTTAAATATGCAAATGAGATATTATATAATGAAATAAGCACTGGTTTAATTTTGCTGACATAGACAGTTAAAGGTTTTTACAGAGCATTTTGGAACGGTCTTTTTACCACTCTGTAAATCAGAAAACACTAGAATATAGATTTGATGCTACTTAAAGGGATGGATCATCCAAAAACAAATTTTTTTCTGGAAAAAAATACCATGGAAGTCAGTGGCTACCGTTAAGTGTTTTGTTACCAGCATTAGAATATCTTTATCAGAAGAAAGAAACTCATACAGGTTTGGAACAACTTGAGGGTGAGAAAATGATGTCAGTTTTAATTTTTAAGTGAACTATCCCTTTAAATTGAGTTTTTTTGGCTCAGCTAAAGAGAAAAAAAAAACGAATTTTGAGAAACTGTTAAAGATACATACTGTAATCGAAATCTACAGACACAAACCGATAAAGAGTAATAAAATAAACACTTAAATGCATGTTTTAGAGTCCCCCTCCCCACCAGTCTTCTTTTTCCCCCAGACTTATTATGGAAGCAAAACAGCCCAAAATGAACCAGTGCATGAGAGAAGGGGGGAGGGTGAGGGGGCTACATGACTTTCCATGTAGTATCTTGCCTTAAATGACAACTAGCTCTAATCTCAATTGTGAATATAAAAGCATAATTTGGGCTTACTGGTAGCAAGATATCACCCTCCTGTACAGCATAGTCTCCCTCAAAATCTGTTAAAGACATTGACAAACATTTAATCAGGTCTAAATGCTCTGATGGGTTATGCTGTCGTGTACACAAATGTCTTACCCAGCTGTGTTTCACTTGTCTTTATCAGAGGAGGCGGTCCACTCTTTGGTGAGTATCCTGTGGATAAAATAAATTGCATCATATAAATTAAATTAGTTGATTAAAAAAGCAGCCCAGTTTTACCTTCATCATACTGGATATCAGTGGCCTTCAACGTATCCACAGGAGTTCCCCACGCTTAAACATAAAAACAGCTTTATTTTAATCTGCTATTACCACAAATGTAAACTTAGAATATAATTAATTTATGAAGAACTTGTGACAGATATGTGTGATCGGTGTACCTTCATAAAGCCATGCAAATAGTAAAATTAACCACAGCATTTTAAACAGTTGCTTACTTGTGGAAACAGGGACAGTAGACTAGACAGACGTGTCCTTTCAAACACGTCCTGGATTTGCTAATTATTTGGCCACCTGGGGCTCTTGATTGACAATTAGTTCTATGAACTTCAATCAATGAGGGCCCGTTTACAACAGCGGTAGGAACCAAAACGCTCATGTTGTAGTTTCATTCCGGACGGTTTTATTGGTGGAACACAGAAAAAGACACGTGAACTGTTTTGTTGTCGACAGCTGATATCTGAAGATATTATTTTGTGGTGAGCGTGTAAAATTAATTTATTAATTATATGTTTTATTACAAGAGATAGATTTCCACTAACCAGGAATGTTTTATAGAGATGTATCTGCCGAATGTTCGCCCGTTTTGAAATAACGGTAATGTTTCCAAAAATCCGTTTTTGATTATGATTATTCATGCTATCTGTGAAATTTGACCGTGGTCAAATTTAGTTTCTGGCAAATTACCATAGTATCAAAAATTATTGTTACTGTAAATTAGATACATTTCGGTTTAAAGATGTAGAGATTGTACACTCTTACGGTGTAAGAGTTATGTTCGTTCTATATGCTATTATATATATATTTTTTGTGTTGTGACATACTTTGCTGTATACTATGGTACTGAATGTTTACCATATTCACCATAGTATTTCAAAGCACTTTCATGGTGAACAACATGGTATATTGTCATGGCACTTTTATAGTATATGGATTGTTTGTTAGTATATGGACTCTGGTATATAGGCAGATATTATAGTTATAATAGTTTAAGTATTATAGCATATAGCAGCAGTGGCGAACTCTGGTCCTGGAGAGCTGCGCGCAGCCCTGCAGAGTTTAGCTCCAACCCTAATTAAAACTCACCTGCCTGTAGCTTCCTAGTAACCCTTCAGACCTTGATTAGCTTGTTCAGGTGTGTTTGATTAGGGTTGAAGCAAAACTCTGCAGGGCTGCGGCTCTCCAGGACCGACGTTCGCCACCCCTGGCATATAGTAAATATGTTATTTATCTGATCATGAACTTATTCTCTCATTCTAACAGAACTCAAAATGACGAGGTGGGCCCGAGCGAACAACGTCCATAAACACAAAGCAGCAGACACCACACCATGGAAGCAGCTGAAGGCGAGTGGGAATGCAGGAGAAGCAGGAACAAGAGCCGGTGGCCGACACATCCAGCAGGGACCAGGTGTAAAGAAACACAACCCGAAAAAGAAGACACGAGAGCATGACAGTGACGACGTGAACGGGTTTCTGGAGTATTTAAAGCAGACCGGTCAGACAGCCCCGGACCGGGATCTGAGGGGAGAAGTGGCAACAGCAGTGAAGAAAGACGTGAGACGAGAGAACAGACGGATGAAGAGACAAAACACCAAAAAGAACAATATGGTGAGGAACTGGAATGGATATAACATGATTATCTGGGAAGCGTATAAAAAGGGTCATTGATACTCACAATTATTTTCCGCTCGCAATTCTGAGTTTATATCTCACAATTCTGACCTTTTCCTCACAATTCAGAGAAAATTGGGAGATATAAACTCAGAATTCCAAGATATAAACTCACAATTTTGAGAAAAAAAGGCTGAATTGTTAGATATAAACTCAGAATTGCGAAGGGGGGAAAAGTCGGAATTGTGAGATTTGTTTCCACCAAGGAAAAAAAAAGTAATTACCACTTTTTATCTCATAATTAAATTCTGAGGAAAAAACTCAGAATTACGAGATAAACAGTTCTAAGAAATAATCTCAGAATAACAAGATATAAACTTGCAATTCAAAGAAAAATAAAACTTCAGAATTGTGAGATTTAAATACACAATTCTCAGAGGAAAAAAAAAAAAACTGTATTGTGGGATATAAACACACAATTGAGATATATAAACTCAGTTCTAAGAAATAAACTCGCAATTGCAAGGGGGAAAAAATGTAATAATATTTTGACTTTTCATCTCACAATTCAGATTTTTTTTTTTCTGGCAATTCTGTGAAAATATAAACTCAGAATTCTAAGAAATAAACTCAGTTGCGAGTTGCGAGATGAAGTTGTTGCAATTACATTTTTTTACGTTATTATTCCATGGTGGAGATAAGCTTCCATAGATAGTCTACAATGAAATATCTGACACATTTTCTCATATTTTCAATCTAGATCTGCTTCAACTGCCGGAAGCCTGGTCACGGTCTCGCTGACTGCCCAGAGGCGGATAACGATGAAGAGATGGGCCGCGGGATCTGTTATCGGTGTGGTTCCACTGAACATGAGATCCAGAGATGTCGTGCTAAAGTGGATCCTGCCATGGGTACGAGTTGAATGAGACTTTTGGACACCTAAAGTGAGAAAGAAAAAAAAATCACCTGCTATGACTTATCATATTAATGCAGCTCTTTTCTAGGTAATTACCCATATGCCAAGTGTTTTATCTGCGGTCAGACTGGACATCTGTCAAAGGCCTGTCCTGATAACCCAAAGGGACTGTATGCTGCAGGTCAGTGATGTACCTGTTTAAGCACTAAATATCTGTGTATTTTAACACTCATGTTGTGGTGTTTTGCTCCTGTAGGCGGTTGCTGTCGGGTTTGTGGTTCAGTGGAACACTTTCAGAAAGATTGTCCTGAACACCAGAACTCAAGTGAGTTGATCAGTTAATAATGTGACCATGTCCACTGAAAATCTGGTATCTTCTTCTTTAACTGAAATAGAAACATCTCAGTTAACTTCTTTTTTGCAGCTAATTCCATCACCCTCGGCCGGCTGTCCAATAGAATCAGCGCCGACCACGAGGACGTCCATGTGCCTGTGAAGAAAGCACAACCCAAAAAAGACAAGGTAGTGGTGTTCTGATCCACAGCTGTTTTGAGGGGAAATATAGCAATGACTGTTTAACTGATCGTTGCAATTTAGATTTGCTTTCTGCAGTTATGGACTCACCGGTGATTGACCGTCTTCCTCTGATGTTTTTAGACGCAAACAAAAGTGACCCTTCCTGTTTTGAGAGCATTTACTTGCAATTAAAGGTCCTCATGATGAAATTGCCTGAGACTTGTGAACATCACATTTGTGCCTGATTTAGAAATTTAAGTTTTAATCATGATGTTTGTTTTCATTTATATGCTCAAGAAAGAGAAGAGAATCTGAATATGAAAAGCAGCATTTATTTATAAGACACTTTGTACAAATATACTCTATAAAAGAGTGTTGTGAAGTGTGTGTGGGCCATATTACCGTATTGGCCCGAATATAAGACGACCCTGATTATAAGACGACCTCCCTTTTTCCAGATGAACCTTTTGGAAAAAGGCTTTTTAAAAACCAAATCTTGTTTTTTCTTAGTAAAACACATTTTGTCTTCAATTATTTTCATATTGCATATTTTTCCTATTTTAATTTTTGTTTTGAAAGTATGGTAAAAACTGGTAAAATGTACCAACAATCACATTTTAAAAATATACACTTTTTTTATATACCATAAGAAAAATAAAAAACGGGTAGCCCATCTGAATTAGGACATTTAGGCTATCCATCTAACAGTAGCCTACCAAAATCTTATTAACAGTAGAAGTTAAATCTTACTGTAGTCTTCAAATCTGGGTACTGTCTTACGTTTTAAAATCACAAAGGGAGTTTGGTCCCATCAGGCTAATGTGACAGTCACGACTCATGCAGCTGTAAGCTTTTCTTTTTCTTTTGTTTTTACTCGCGATCTTTACAACACGCATTACATTACGTATTTCATGGCACACTCGTTTTATGCGTATTTGGCACCACCTATTATTGTTATTATTGACATGTCAAAGTCTAGACCCTGAATATAAGACGACCCCGTTTTTTCAGATGTATTTCCAAGAAAAAAACATCGTCTTATATTCGGGTCAATACGGTACTTCATGTAACTTTTGGCCCTCTAGCGGTTACGAATTAAACTGCACGCGTCTTGCAGAAGAACATAATTTGGGTTTGCGCAGATGAATGCGGTTCGCGGAACAGGTTTAGAAATGGATACAAGACATCTTATCAGAGCGGAAGGATTTTTAAAATTTTTTTGTTATTGCTGTTTTGAGCAATTCCTAGTCAGTTTTTCTCATTCGTTTGGGACAACAACTTTAAGCTTTAGTCTGAGTTTATTTTCTTTATGTACGGATATGACGTGACGCGCACGGGCGAATGACGCATATGACGTGACGCGCACGGGCGAATGACGCATGCGTTCAAGTTACCGCTAAATCCGTCCCGACTGCTAAATAATTAGTAGGATTAAAAAGCATTGATTCTGCAGTATAATACAGAACTACGGCTGCACAATTATGATCCATATCACAATTGTTAATTATTTCTATTAATATTACAATACCAATTAATTTTAACAAATTTTTATCAAAATACAACTGCATGTCATTTTCTTCATGTAGCTACATATCCAAAACAATCTGATGACTTTATTCTTGAATTATTTGATTGTTTATACATAAATCTTTTTTTTTTTATTGACTTCTCACTTAAGGTCTGAACTCACTGTAAATGCAAAACTTGGATAGAGCCGGTTAAGCCCTAAATACAATGCTGTAATTGACAACTTTCACAATTATTTAATCATCACAGATTTTATCATGGGCTCAGACACTTTGAAGAGTGTGGACTGTGAAGAGGATAATGCATGTTTAGTCATATGATGCATATTGTACCATAGATATTTATGGTTTTATCGGCAGCCTTCAGACCTGTTGACGCCAAAGACAAAAATGATAAACTGTCAAATTTAAATAATTGTTCTAATAATACTATGAAAATATCGAAGTCCACACTACAACTATAATTCTTAATATCTAATACAGATACCATTATAGTTGGCTTTACAGTTATCATTCTTGGTGTAAATGGGCCTTCAGAAATGCATGCAATGCTATAACTGACAATTTTTATGATCACAATCATGGCAGTTGTTATCATAACCTTATTTTTAAACAACTGTCCTAGAATTGTCCTAATGTTGCACATCAGAACTGTGTGGTCAGCAAATCTTGCTCCAGAAATAAAATGCAGGACATTGCCGTCTCTTCCATAGATTTGGACCAGCCGGCTATGTTTCCCTCCACATAGGGCAGCACTCCAGAGGTCACCTGGTTGTAGTACGACACCTAGAACAGCAACCAGAAATGA